TTTGCTCGTCAGTAGAGTCCTTTTTATTTTGAAAAATGTCAGAATTTACTCGTCAGTAAAGTTTTTTCCCTAAAAATGATAGAACTTGTTCGTCAGTATTTTTCTCTAACAATGTTAGAATATGTTCGTCAGTAGAGTTCATTTTTGTATTAATAAATGTCAAAAAAATTCCTCGTCAGTAGAGTTCTTTTTATTATAAAAAATGTCAAACATTGTTTGCCAGTATTTTACATATTGTACTGAATTTACACATCAGTATTTCATTTTTGTATTTAAAAAACTTGCAAAAAGTTGAAATTTACTCAAGATTTCTTTTTTCCTAAAAATGTTATTATTTGCTCATCAGTACAGTTCTTTTTGTTTTAAAAGTTGCTCGTCAGTAGAGTTTCTTTTTATTTTGAAAAAATGTCAAATCGTTTGTCAGAGTTCTTTTTGCTTAAAAAATGTCAATTTACTTACTCATCAGTGTATTTTTAAAAAAAATATCGATATTTGCTAGTCAGTAGAGTTCTTTTGTTTTGGGGAAAAATGTTAGAATTTGTTTGTTAGTAGTTTCTTTCTCAAAAAGATCCGATTTTCTTGTCAGCATGGTCATTTTTATAAAAAGTAGAATTTGCTTATCAGTAGAGTTCTTCAGTACAGTAACATTTCAGTTTTTTTTTAAAATGACAGTTTGCTCGTCAGTAGAGTTCCTTCTTCCTAAAAACATTCGTTCGTCAGTAGAGTCCCTTTTCCCTAAAAATGTTAAAAATTGCTTGTATTAAAAAAAAATATCATAATTTGCTCATCTGTAGATTTTTTTAAATAATAATTGCTCGTCAGTAGAGTTCCTTTTTCTAAAAATGATCGATATTTCTAGTCAGTAGAGTTCCTTTTTAATATTTATATTTGCTCGTCAGTAGAGTCCTTCTTTCCTAAAAATGTTAATATAGCTTATTACATGTCAATACAGTTCATTTTTCCTAAAAATATTTAACTAAGCCAATCAATATAACTATCTGTTTTTTTTTTAAATGTCATAATTTGCTCGCTAGTAGAGTTTCTTTTTTCTAAAAATGTCAGAATTTTCTCGTCAGTAGAATTTGCTTGTCAGTAGAGTTTATTTTTAAATTATCAGACTTTGTTCGTCAGTAAAGTTTCTTCTTTCTAAAAACGTTATAATTTGCTTGTGAGTTGATTTCTTTTGAAAAAAAAAAATCAATTTGTTTGGTCAGTAGAGTTCTTTCTTTCTAAAAATATTCGAATTTGCTCGTCAGTAGAGTTCTTTTTAATATAAAAAAATATCAGAATTTGCTTGTTAGTCGAGTTTCATTTTTTTTAAAAAAATGTCAAAATTCCTTTTTTCCTAAAAATATTAAATTAAACCAGTCAGTATAACTACCTGTTTTTTTAAATGTTACAATTTGCTCGCCAGTAGAGTTCCTTTTTTTCTAAAATATCAGAATTTGCTCGTCAGTAGAGTTCCTTTTTTTCTAAAATATCAGAATTTGCTCGTCAGTAGAGTTCTTTTTATTTGAAAAAGTCAAAAATTGCTCAAGATTTCTTTTTGATTTAAAAATATTAAGCTTGTCATTAGAATTTTTTTTGGTTTAAATTTTTTTTTAGTTCAAAAAATGTCATTTGATCCTCAGTAGAGTTCCTTTTTGTTTGAAAAAAAATTCTGAATTTGCTAGTCAGTACAGTCCTTTTTATATTTAAAAAAATATCAGAATTTGCTCGTCAGTAGAGTTCTTTTTGCCTAAAAAAATGTCAATTTTACTCATCAGTTGTTTTAAAAATATCGGAATTTGTCAGTCCTTTTGCTCTAAAAATGTTACAACTTGCTCGTCAGTAGAGTTTCTTTTTACACAAAATATTTAAAAAAAAATACTAAAATTTGACAGTAGTTTCTTTTTTCTTTAAAAATTTTCTAATTTTCTCGCCAGTATATATATATTTTATATTTTAAAAAATATCAGAATTTGTTCGTTAGTAAAATTCTTTTTGTGTTAAAAAATAACAAAATTTGCTCGTTAGTAGACTTGATTTTCCTTTAAAAAATCAGAATTTGTTCATCTGTATATTTTTATTTTAAAATATCGAACTTTGCTTGTCAGTAGTTTCTTTTTTAATACTTATATTTCCTCGTCAGTAGAGTTCCTTTTTTCTAAAAATGTTAAAAAAAAGCTCGTCAATAGCGTTATTTTTTTTTCTAAAAATGTAAA